TTCTGTCTTTGTGAGTTATCGATTGCTATTTTAAACATCTGCACTTTGCATTCTACTGTAAAGCCCCTTGCTTAGAATTCGTATAGGGCGTGGTTTGACCCAGCGAATAGCATTTGTGAGTGAGGCAGGTAGATATCCGAGAATTGTGGAAGGAAATTGCTGTATCAGGCTCGTGCAGGAAATGAGACTCATGTCAGCGATACCGTTCTCAATCCGCTGTAGGCCTATCTGGGAAATGGCTGACGGCTCATGACGAATACAAGATAAAGGCAGACATGTGCAGTGAAACACAGGAGTGGCAGTGACTGCGCTGTTTGTGATTTTGCGTACCTTCTTTTCTTGGATATTTCTTTATTTCAGATAAAAGTAGACTATATCTTCATAAAATTAATCAGTACTGCAGACACTACACTGCACAGAATTGTGAGCTAGTCTCAAATGTTTCTGACAGTGGTCAGAAATATTTAAACATTTTGAGAATAAATGTGACTAACATCTTGCAAACTGGGCCTGTTTCCGTCATTAAATGCAAGGGAGTAAAGGTTCCTGCTCAGGTTGGCCCGTTAGAAACAGGTAAGCTCAATCACTATAGAACTAAGCAATTGGGACTTACTGGCGCAACTTAGTAGGAATAGTTCCTCCTCTATACCTGACGACGGAAACAGTTCTAGTTTGCGAAACGTTACTCTCAAGAAAAGAAAGCCAAGACGATGGACGCTGAAAAACAAATCAGTAATATAAGTAAAAACACTCCGTGGCTTGTAGTCCGCAAGAGAACTATACCGAACTATGCCTCCTCGAGGCACTGCAGGGATGTGCGCACCACACTGGAATCACTTACAGACGTGCAAAGAAATGACGTAAAACTGCGCCATTATAAAGTGTGTACAGTGCATCAGGTGTTGTTAGCAGAGCAAGTCAACAACGGGCTCTGATCGAAAATTAATTAAAAATCATATTAAAATGTAGGGGCACTTGGTAGCATAGTTGGTTCAGGCACTATGCGGGTTCGAGTCCAGATAAAGTGGATTTTTTTCAGTTCACCTAATCCTTCCAGCCGCACTATGTCCCTGAGGTCGATTCAGCCTCTAATAGAAATGAGTACCAGGAATCTTCCTGGGGCTAAAAGGCGGCCGGCGCGTAAGGCTGACAACCTCACCGCCATCTGTGAGCTGATAGTCTAGAGAACATGTGGGATCCTGGATGTCTCACAACCCTATGGGCCCTCACGGTCTGTTACAGGGGTACCTTTACTTTTAGTACTATATCACCTACATAATGACTGTATGCCGGTATTTGAATACTTGTAAAACCTTTGAGTAAAACTCTAATTAATAGGAGTTGCTAAAGTTTAACATGTCAAAATGTAACGTTCAGCTTTTAAAGCGAGGTTGTTTCTATATTTTAATACTTAAGACATGTGACGCCATATGGCCGCTTGAGCTGGGGGTGGAAGGGAGCGTCTGCTCGCGCCTCTTCTTCTCGACGCTTCGAGACGCCTAAGCCATCGGCTTCTAGTTTCCTCGAAACCGTCCAACTCACGCTGACGACCGAAGACGGCCGGGAGTCCGAAAGAAGCTTCTGTAATGATTTGACCTCCACAACGCTTTGGTTGTTTTCTCAGAGAGTCTCTGTCTTAGAGTGTGGACGGCTGACATGGGGGGACGTTGAAACCTATGTGAAATTCTGCTTGCAGTGAGTTGCAAGTGGAGAGTAGAGGGCAGTATAATAATGCACAAGGGAGAACTGACATATAGATCATAAGTGACAGTGAGGCAGTAACTTTTCCAAGCAACAATAATAGTTACAGTACAATAGTTAAACATTTTAATGCCCGGAAAGTTGTATGGGTCTGTCTGCTTAACAAATAAATACTGTCACGAATCCTGGTAACGCGACAAGAAATTAATGGGCTACGGATTAGACGAGGCGGTTTATTGGATAAGTCGTTTGCAATTACAATTACAATCACTCAGAAATAACGTCTTCCGGGCGATGTCACCTGGCTAGTTTGTCGTCTTCTGGTTCTTAGCTGAGCTGGTTTATTCTGCTCTCAACTCTGCTCCGTTCGCCTCTGTTCTGTTCTCTGCTCCGTTCTTCTCGGTTCTGTCTTTCGCTCTGTTGTGTTTGGTCTGTTATATTCTACAGTCGGACGGACTAGAAGACACTTTGTTTAAGGGCTCCGTTTCACGTGTTTTATGCACCGGTTGCTAGTGTATTCATTGCCGCGGGAACTGCACGAGTTCGGGTTTTCACTTCCGTGGTAACGTCTGTTATGTATGCGTTGTTGCGTGAACCTATTTCATTGTCACCTCGACAACGATACGGAACATTGAACACCGAGCCGTTGCCTAGCAATGGACGCCCGGTCTGACTCAAATATTCTGGCTTTTAGGCGGCACGCCACAGTGCGTAGTGTGTTTCCTATCAAGCCTTTCATGTTTACGTCCCTGATTTCCATGCTTTTTTTGTACTGAGATTGGTCTGTTGATGCTAATTTAGTCGCCGAAGGGTGTAACTAATGTGAACACGTCTTAAGTACTTGACGTAGACGGATAACAAAGACTGTAACTTTCAGTCTTTTAATAGGAGACACGAAGTCAAAAGATTCTGGACTGAACCTTAGGTTGCATTCATCTAACTTAACGTGTATAGGCACTTGAGTGTTGAGCATACAAGGAGTAATCCTTCAGAGCTCAAATTGCAAGACGTCAGTGACTAGTGTCATCAAATAAGCAGCATCTTATGCGTGAATCCTCTTATGCCCGATGCAGCAGGCGGGCTGCTGAGAGAACTTTTCTAGAGCTAAGTGTAAATATTGGGTCAGATTCTCCTGTAAGCATTCAGTGGCAGGAGCTAATTGACACAGCGATATGGCGGCGAACCAATAGCGCACCCACAAAGGAACGGGGTATTAATACGTACCATTTCCTTTAATGGCCAGTAACCTGGTTCACTGCACATACACTGGATTTAAAGATATACTTTAGTTCGCAGAATATAGCACAATCAACTTTCTTCAGCCTAACCTGAATTGGGAATTGAGAAATAAAATGTAACATTTTCACGGTGATAAAAATTAGTGTCCTGATCTGCTGGGTTATGACACCGTGTTGTACTCTGGTCCATGGGTACCAATGTGATCAGAAGAAATTGGTGCCTCCACTTCAGAGAGGGAGGCATTGTGTTCCTCTGGAGCGTAGGCACTCACTCACCAGACTACCTGCCTCCTAACTCATAATAAGCACAATGTGAGAAGTGATATCTTTGTTTGGAATTATAAACTGGATTTTTAACAGTGTTTGTATGAGTTTTGGTCACCTTACAACGTACTCACAAATTTTAAAAGTTCTAGGAAGAACTACACAACTACGTTCCTTAGATGTGGTATGGGTGGCATAGCAAACAAAAACAATTAGGGGACAAAGACAGCAAGGTTATCTCATAGGCTTCCTTTAATTTTTTCAAAATAATGAAAGTAGACCAATAAATAAATATGAAATAAATAATGATTTTATAAATTTAATCCAGACTAGTTATAACCCCCACTTCCTGAACAACATTATTTCATATAAACCAGGCAGTCAGAAATCATTTGATGATTATGTCTTGTGTTACTGAGTCTCTTAAACCGATTGTCTTTTGAAGAATGTTGTCTTCTGTGGTGCGGCGTCTTGTAGTCTGGTAGTGGTTATCAATGTCGGTAAACTTTTTCAAAACTACACGGCTTTATATCCCAGAAAATAATATTCTTCACAGTCTGCACTGTGAACATTTCAACTTAACCTCCAAGGGGTGAACTTTTTCCAAACTACACGGCTTTATATCCCAGAAAATAATATTCTTCACAGTCTGCACTGTGAACATTTCAACTTAACCTCCAAGGGGTGAACTTTTTCCAAACTGCACGGCATCATATCCAAGAAAATAATATTGATCAAAATCAGTGCAATGAGAACATCAAATCCCACTGTTCTGTCTAGATTGCAACCTCACATTCATAGCGGTGAACTTCTAGCAAACTATGTTGCATCTCTGTTCATAGACACAGGATAATGTTTGTTTCCTTGTTTAATTAGCACCATTGAGTGAACTAAAGAAGTTATATAGCACCATAGCGGCCTCCGTAGTCTAGAGGTGACGTTCCCACCTCATGACTCGTGGTACGCGGGTTCAAATACCCGGCGGAGGTCGTCGAATTTTTAAGGGCGGAAAAATTCAGGGAACAAGTCCTCCGGGAGGGACTTTAAGCTGTGTGTCCCGTGTCGTAACTTTACGGCACGTAAAAGAACCTCATATCCCCAAAGGGGATCACTGAGCCAAATTCCAGGACGTTTCCCGCCCAACAACAGTCTCTAAGGCCTCTGATAGATGGGGGAAGCATTATAGACACCGCTAAGCAAGTGGCCGAACTCGCTTGCTCGGCGGGACTGATGGTACGCACCATTTATCGGTAGGGTAAAGAGACTGGTAGAATATCATAGAGGGAAGCATAGTAGATCAAACTGGTCGCGGTGCATGGGGAAACCCACCCTCTCTAAATAACTAACTAACTAACTAACTAACTATATAGCACCATATAAGAATTGAAAAGGTAGTTATGAAGGATATGGGAAGCAGATTTTGTAGCATTTTTTTAGGTAATGTCCTGGTATTTGTATGGGATGACTGACACACGAGTATGTCACAAAATCTCTGAGTCAGGTTGGATAATTTCCAGTCAAGATTGGTAACTTCAAGTAAGTTGCAATGGATTCATTCTCAACCCTCTGCATTTCACATACTCTACAGCAGTTGTCTCATTGCACTGAACAGCAAATGATCTATAGTTTCCATTTGAAGTTGTTGCCAGTACAGGCTGAGTTATTAATAAGATTTTATCATACTGAAAATTGTATATCTCAGTTCTCACAATGTGGGAAGTAAGGCTCTCTCCTTGATTTCTAGTTGCATTGGACTTACAGACTGCTAATGCGAAGTGTACTTTTCTGTACTTGCAGGTTTGAGAAAAGTGTATCCATATTACTTCACTTTTACAACATTCACAAAAGGTCGTTGGGTTGGAGAGAAGATTCTTGATGTGTTTGCAAGAGAATTTCGAGCACATCCTGCTGAAGAATATGTGAGTATACAATAACTCATTAGTGGATTACTCTATTTCCTGACTTGTGCTTTCAAGTATATCAGCTGATACAGAGGAATTCTTATGAGTTTTTTTCTGTGGTGATACTGTGTATCAAGTTTTCACACATTTTGGGATTGTAATATATGCACTTCTTCAGCGTGGCATTTTTATACCCAAGTAAGTGCATGCAGTATTAATTTTAGAATATTAATCTTGCAGAGTCATGGGTTGATTATTTTCTGTTTCTGTCACTATTTAGACTATGTAACATCAGATAGTAAGGTGACTGATGTATTGGAAAGGATTTGGAAAGAAACAGTCTTTGCCTGATTAAGCTACTCTCCAGGCATTTAGATGAAAGGACTGAAGAGAACCATGAAAACCCTCAGTGTGGATAGTTAATGCCCAAGCCAAGCACCTCTAAAATACAAGCATAGAGCATTACAGCTATACCAACCAGCTTGGTACAGAGTCACACAGTGAATGACTTGAAATTTTGAAGGTGACGACAGGAATACAAATGATACACACGTAAAATTAAGCTGAATACCCAGTACATCAAACTTGAAGTGATCACTTACATGGCTGAACACACATACGCACTCATACATGCATGTGCATACACACATGTGAAGTCATTCCATTAAGAAATTCCAGTGAAATTAGGAACTTGAATTGAATGGAATATAGGAGCATCTGTTTATTTATTTTTATATTGAACAGTGTTGTTAGTAGCTCATTATATGGCAGAATGATAGTGAGTAATGAACTGGAAAGGATGTGGACTAATTTTAAGATACTTTCCCAATATTTTCCTGGAAGGATTGTGAAAAACCATGAAAAACCTGAGTCAAGATAGTCAGTGACAAACCTAGATTTGAACCACTTATTTCCCAAACAGAGGTCAGAAGTTTTATCTACATGAGCCAATTTGTTCAGTTATATTTGTTCTATGCTGATGCTAATTTATCAAATGATAACAGAAATGTGGGTAATAAGTTATTTGAAAGCATTGTGAAGTTGAAATATTTGGCAGTGGTAGTAACAAATCACAGTTATCTTTGTGCTGATGTAAACCAAGTTTAATTTTGGAAATGCTTGAATGATGTTCAGACTCTTTTTGAATTGCATTCAGTCAATTGATTCATCATTGTCACAAATTGAAGTATTAAAATCATAATCTAATTTAGAAACCTTCCCATCTTCAGCATATCTATATGGTTTTTGTCCAGGAGCGGTGCATTCGTGCAGGAACGCTGACCGTAAACTATGAGAAGGTTGATGTTGACTACCGTCTGAAACACAATGACCTGCTGGCCAATATTGTGCACAGGTAACATCTTTAAATTGTACATTAAACACTTCCATAGAGTTAAAGTTCATGTGACATTATTATTGTTGCAGTATAAATGTTTTCTAAAAATAATAAATTAACTGGTAAACAACGTCTTCATTTCCTGGACATATTGTACGTTGGCATACAGTATGCGCCAGAAACATGTAGAACTTACCACAAGTGTTTAGAAACGTCCTACTTGTATATACTCTATACATATGTAAGTATACATGTATGTATGTGTATATATATATATATGCGCCAGGATAGCTCAGACAGTACAGAAGTTAGGCTGTGGGCTAGACAACCGAAAAGTTGGGTCTAGTTGCCAGCAAGGGCAAGAGATTTCTTTTTCTCACCATCCAGACCAGTTCTGGGACCCACCCAGCCTTCTGTCCAATGGATATTGGAGGCACTTTCTGTAGGGATGAAGCAGCTGGGGTGTGAAGCTGACCACTCACTTCCAACCAGCACCAAAGTTAAGAATGCATGGAGCTTTGCTTCCACTCTGCCATATTTTTTTCATGGCAGGGATACCTTGACCTTCACCTGTGTTTGTGTACATAGTTTCTGTTCATAGCATCCAAAGATGGATTGCTTCTGCATATAACTTGAAGCTGGGACAGCTCAGCCAGTATAGAGACTGGGCTATGGGCTGGATGATTGAAGAATGAGGGTTCATTTCCATCGAACAACAGTAGTTGTTCAATAAGTAAGGTTCCCTTGCTTCTAATGCTTATGTTAATTGAACATTTTGTTTTTTTGATAGATGGTAACACTTGATAGGACTCGGTAGGGGTAACATGCAACAAAGGCACAACTTCTGCAATAATGCAGAAATGGAAGTGGCAGATGGTGAATGCCTATGACTGCAGGAGCCAAATTTCTACCACGATGGAAGTTTCGGCTCTTTGTAAGATGGGACAAATGCATCAGTGTACTTATGGATTATGTTAAAAAATGATGATACTTCAGTGGAACAAATGAGCATTTGTTTAACATGTAATGTTTAATTGACTTCTCATTTAATTTGTATGACCTAGGGAACTGTATTTATTGAACTCCTTCATAACTATTGAAATTAGTTTCGTTAATTTTCTGTAAGGCATTTCTAAACTCATGAACTAATTATTTTGGAAATTCAAAGTGTGTACATTCAAACCTGTTTAAAAAGGAATCTGAAAATCTACGTGACAAATGCAGTTAAAACAAATTTCAGTTTGTGTAGTCATAGATGCTATATCCAGAATACAAGCACAGGATATATGATTTTATTGCAAGGTAAAATTTATCTCAGGGTCTAATTGCCATGCCACGAATGCATACTTTGGGAATGGAGGTAAAACTCCATGTGTTCTTAACCTTGGTACTAGATAGCTCCTTAACTCTTTGGGTACCTCCTTGTTAAAAAGTTGGGCGTACCTCATGGTTGATCTCAACATGGTGGCAAGGAGAAAAATCCTTGCCCACATGCTGGGAATTGAATTCTAGTCATTGTACCAATATCCAGTCACCACACTGACTTAGCTATCCTGACTCCCAAAATAATTTAATTTATTAATTTTAATTTAGTTTCTGAAATAAAGCAACTGTGATCACTTTAAATCTAATTCTATTTTTTTTATAATGTCCAGAAATCATCTAAGGGATTTGATATAAACTGTATTACAGTGATTCTAGTTCCCTTCACTATTTTCTCCCAAGAACAGTATATGTACATGACAGTTTTGAGAGACCTATGCTATAATTTTATTAAAGGGAATAAACAGAAAACAGTTTCCTTTGTGATAGTTGTATGAAGAGTTTGGTAACTGCTGATTTTATTGTAGTTCTGACATATATGGAAATATTGCATTATTTATAACTGCAATTATTTTTGGAATTTGAATTTTCATTATATATATATATAAAAGTTGAAATTAAGTAATAAAAGTGTTGTGGGAATGGTCTGTGTGGTTTAATGCTCAGTAGAAATAGGTGCAGTAATAACATTGGACCATACAGACTTTACTCTTTCTGAGGCATATAAACATTGTTTCATTTAGTATCTTGGACATATTAAGAAATAATATATTATTTTAATGTTAGACTTATATTTTTGTTTTGAATTTTCAAAGGGAATTTAGTTCTTAATATTACTGGTAAATAATGATTGTGTTCATCTGATAGTAATGCCCCCATGTTCTATTCTCTGTTGCATGTGTTTAATGTACCTGCACTTATTAATTTAGCAACCAGATAATGCATGTTTGCGCATGTGCACGTGCACACACACATACACACACACACACAAGGTGTATTGTGCATTCCAAAAGTGAGTTTCATTTTACTGTAGAAAAAGAATTATTGTTAACAACAGAAGTCATAACCCTTATCCATAGGAACTCCTCTTTCTTCTATACATACATGCCATCTGTGCAACAAACTTTGGAAACAATTCAGTAACTCTTCTTAATGATGTGTTTTCCCCCAGTGCAGTTATCAACTGATTGATCCTGAATTCTTGAAGTGATTTTTTCCATTTTTGAAGAACCCAAAGTGATATGGGAATATGGGGCTAAATCAGGTTAGTAAGATGGATGTTAGAGCACCACATCTTCAATAAAAATGAAAATCCAGGTAGAAAGGCATCCTGAAAGCACAGTCACTTCACCTAACCTTCACATTGTGACTCACAGTGAGTGTGTGTTGATATTTGCACAGGAAGCAGTTAACACAGAGAGGCAGAGTTACAGAACTGTCAGCTTCTAGCAGGAAAGCATAGCAGCAGGTGAAGAGAACTGACCATTGGAGTGCACTTTATATGTATGCACAAGCACATTCATTCTCACGTGCATGTTTACACAAACTCAGATCTTTTTCACATCTGTTTTATTACAAATTAGTGCTTTCAGCTATGGAAATTACATGTCATTGGATTTTTTTTCAGTTACTTTTCATACATTATTATACTTCATGCAGATCTGTTTTGTTACTGTACTGAGATCACAAAATGAAGTCCCATGAATGGTGCGAATGACTATGCTTGAGGCTTCCCCTTTTCTGTGTACTGCTCTATACCTCCAGCTCCCTCTGGTCTATGCCAAGCAGCTGGAAATTCTTGTCTGTATCAAAGGTTATCGCTACCAACATTCCTGTGGACAGAATGGCTGGGCAACTGGAAGGGACTGTAGGGAAGTACACAAGAGAGAAACATAACAACCTGAGGAAGACATGGAGGAAGCTGATCCATGGGGATCTTTCCAGGATCTCAGTATAATCTTCAGCACTGCTGCTAGTTGCATAAGACTATATAGTAATTCCTTCCATCCAGAGCTTAACGAATTCCATGTTATGATAATATCTCAAATCCCCATTGTGGTGCCTAGTATATTTTGAAGTATTCATCTGAAGTTTTCTTTGACTCTTTCGGATGGCAGGAAAGTGTTGAAGACAGTGATTAGCATTTCTACTGAAATAAAATTAGTCATTGCCCATCTACACATGTGTTATAGGAATTTCCAGTAGAATGGGTTACTGTGATCAGCTTTCTCCAGACACTTGCTGAGCAAAGCTTTGCACATCAGCTTCTGTTTGAACAATTAAAAGTCAGTGGTTCCATGTGGATCCCGTTTTTGGGCAATGAAGTGTGAATGACTTCCACCATAGAGGAGGAACTGTGTAGTTAAGCCAGGGAAGCTCAGGACCATGACTTGGTGCCACTTTGATTGCTGCAGCATCTTCCTGGCACTTGTTTTAAAAACATTGATATGGAATGTACAAGGTGGTTCAAATATGACCGGGACGGATTTTTTAAAAAAAAAACATAATAACACTTGCACATGTCGGTCTTCAACGTATTCCCCTCTGGAGTCAACACATTTTTTCCAACGTTCTGGAAGCATCCTGATGTCATTTTCAAAAAAGGCTTGTTGTTGGCAGCGTATCCACTCCCGAACAGTCTGGATGACGGCATCATTGTCCAGAAACCGCATGCCTTGCAAGTGTGATTTTAGCCTTCCGAACAGGTAGAAATCACTTGGGGCCAAATCAGGACTCTACAGTGGATGTGTCAGAAGGTTCCATTTCAATTTCTGGAGGGTTTCCATTTTTGTTTTGGCCATATGGGGGCGTGCATTGTCTTGAAGGAAGGTTACCCGCTTTCCGCCTGTCTTCCACTTGGATCAGAACTTTTCCTTCATGTCTGTTGCCAGGTGGTCTGTGTAATAAGCTGCATTGACTGTTCTGGCATCTGTCAGAAAGTCTCCATGGATAACACCCTGCCAGTCCCAGAAGAACGTTGCCATCACTTTTCCTGCTGAACGGCTCCTCCGCGCTCTCTTGGGTTTAGGAGAACTGGTATGCCACCACTCGTGTAATGACTGGTGGGATTCGGCAATGAAGTAGTGCACCCACATTTCATCGGTGGTCACTATAGACTTCAAAAATGCATCACCTTCATCTTCAAACTGCTGTAGGAGACGATTGGCAGCTTGCATGCACACCATTTTGTTCACGTCCATCAAAGTGCGTGGTACCCACTGTGCCTTCACCTTGCGATAGTGCAGGTGGTATTTCACGATGTCTTCTACACTACCAACACTGATGGACAGCATTGTGCCAAGTTCCTTGATAGTGATGCGCCTATTCTTACGAATAAGCGCATCTGCATGATCAGTGTTTGGCTCGGTGACGGATGTTCGCGGCCGACTATCATGCGGTTCATTCTCCACGCACTCTGTCCTCTTGGAAGCACTTACACCACTCAAACACACGGGTCCATGAGAGACACTCTTCCCCATACTGTTCTTGGAGTCTGTGGTGAATTTCAGCGGATGGGACGTTTTCTCCAGTGAGGAATTTGATCACAATGCATTGTTCCACGCTCCGCGGTACCTCTGTTCGCTCATCACTCTAGCAACTCCCAGACAGGACTGAACAGGAGGGAGGGTGGAGGTTGTGGCTTCACTCTCTCAGGGTCACACAGCTGCTGCGCAGTGCGGCTTATTTACACACAA